TCACTGAGTTACGCAAGCCCCTTCGCCACGACAAGGCAGTGATCCATGAAGGGGAGTACTTGAATACAATACAGTCAATAATATCTAATGGTGTTTATGATCAATTGCAAAAAATAAGTGTGCGATTGAGTTTAATGTTGCCCGGCTTGGTGTTGGCATGAGGTGAGGGAGGAGAGGAAATGATACAGGATTTCCCTACAAGTCACCTGTACTGCAATGTGGTCTATTTTTAGCTACAGAAGCCTATTGCCACAAAGTATGGACAGTCTTGGGAGTGCAGCAGCCAAGAAATCTAACAAATAAATATTGTTAACAGGGTTATTTAGAGAATATAGCAGGATTCCCTGCTGAAACACCTGCACTGGCTTCCATTTATCCCAAGTACAATTCAAAGTGCTGCTGTTGATGGTTAATTTTCTGAATGGTTAGGACCACTCTTTGAAAAACCAACTTCTCCAGATTAATCTGCCACTGTATTGGGATTTTAGAAGTCACAGCATAGATCTCATTAGCTCCAGAGATCCATTTAAGTTACAGACCAGGAAAAGGTATTTTCTCTATGACTAGTTCTGGAACTAATTCTGCCTCATTTCCTCACTAAACCACCTTTCAGCCATTAATGAAAATCTTCCTTTTGAGGAAAGAATTCAGCGGACGATTCTCCATTTAATTTTTTTTAAGTAACTTTGCTGATTTTTTCCCCTGTATTGTATTTTTATGTTTTGCATTTTTGTTTGTTAATGACCAGATGAGCAGGACAGGAATACAGTACTTCCTCCAGGAAGGATGTAACTTTTCCAAAGCAAGCACCGCTTTCCTTGTATACATTAACCGCAAGAAGCTGACAACTTGGCCAGTTTTAGAAGGGGGTTAGATAACCCTGTCAAAGGGTACCAGGCATGGTGGCTACGCACTGTGGCCAGTATCAACACAACTCTCGCCCGCACGTAGAGCGGAGATAACCGGGAACTCCCTTCATATTCCTCCCCAGCTGAGTCGCTGCGCGATCCCCGCCCTCTTAGCTCACTGCCAGAACGCACGTGTTGCCTCCAACTGCGCAGGCAGCGCGGGGAAACGAGCCCCGACGCCGAGGGTGTAACACGCATGCGTGCTGCCAACGCTTTTTCGCTACTGCCTCCTTGACCGAGAATCTAACGTTCCGCCTGCATAGAGATTTCAGACTATTTTTCTCTCATTGGCCGCCTTCCGCCCTGCACGCGCATCTAGTCCACGCCCCCTCGGGTCTAGCCTCTCTTGGAGGCAGCGAGCGTCGAGGCCTTGCGTCCCTCCCCACCTCGCGCGCCCTCGTTTTCTTACAGTTCCTTAGCTCGGATTACTTCCTCCCCTCTCGCCAGGCTTTCGGGCGCGCGGGAGAGCGCGTCTGCGCGCGCCGCCTCCCCCGCCTGCGTTCTGTCAGCGTCTCGCCCGGCTCCAGCCTTCTGGGGGCTCCGTGAAGCGGCGGTGGGTTCCTGCTTCCGTCTTCTCGCCCCCCTCCTGCTGCTCCCTCCCGCGCTTCCATCTCCTTCTCCCCTCGCGCGCCGCCTCCCGCTTCTTCTCCATCAGACCCGGCATTGCGGGAGCTTCGCCGGCGCGGGGACGAAAGCGAGGTTGTCGGCGCGGATTTAGGTAAGGCGAGGCCGTGTGAGGGATCCGAAGGGGACGCTCCTGAAACTTGAGAGGATGCTGCGCTTGGGGCTTCGGTGGCTTCGACCCGTTCTTCGTTGTGGGCCTGACGTAGAAACAGCGGTTATTCACGGCGCCGGCTTTTTGGGGGGGGCGCCTCTCGTCCGCGAAGGGAGGGCAGGAGCGGGGATGTGCAGCCTCCGCCAAGGCTGCCGAGCTCTCACGGGACGGGATTCTCGAGGAGGAAGGAGAGTTGTCACCCCGGCCAGGGCCTGGACTCCCTGATAAGGCAGCGAGGGCGCTTGAGGCCAGAGGGATAAGGTAGGCAGATGACTCGCTAGCGGGAGCTTTACGGTTGCTATGTGGGCGCTGAATCCCGGAAAGCGACTGCGGCTCGGGAGCCCGGTGCAGGGAGGAACAGACCGTGCACGAGCCGAAGCCCCAAGCATCATCCGTACAGGAGGCGCCCGGGAGAGTCGCGTCGAGCTCTGCAAAAGAGCAGGAACAATCGGCCGCCGGTGTGCCAGCTGCGTGTGCGTGTGTGGAGGGGGAATGCGCGCCGCGGGGGGTGGGAGGGGAGGTCGGATATGCAGAAAAAGTGCATTAAGAAAAGCTGCGGCGCTCTCTTCTCGTCCCCTTTTCTGATTTTCTTCTCTCCCGCATCCTTAAAAAAGAAAGTGAAAAATCCTAAGCCAGGAAATGCACCTGGTGGCTAGCGAAAGTAAACGTGTGTTGTTCAGAATGATGGGATAAGGATATGATCATTGATACTAAGAATTTTCTTTTTTCATGATTCCTGTCAAGAAAATATGTTGAGTTCATCAATATCCAGAGAGAATGGTTCTCTCCTTGGGCCTGGATTAATTGTTAATATATCTGTTTTAGTCAACATTCTAACTTAAACAAGATGTTTTTGTGCTTCGTGTAATTAGAGCTATTTGTCCTTGGATATCTTTTACTGTATTACACTTTGTATTTAACTTGTGCTGTCTGCAAAGTGAATCTAACATAATGATTTGAATTTCAAAAAAACCTGCTATGTATTTTAAACATAATCAAGAATAGTTTTTCTGGGGCGTGGGTGGGAAATAATGGCATGAAAATAGAGAAGAATTAAAAAGACCTCTAACATTTCAAGGCCACATCTTTTTTACGGTTACTGACTAGAAAAGTTTTCAAGACCACTGCTGTCTACTGATCTGAATACGACAGCACTTCAGAAGTAAATATGGAAGTGTACACCTTCTGTAATTCACTTTGGGCCTTAAGTCTGCAAATATTTACATATAAAACTTGACCATTGACAGTTTGGGAGTGGTTCTTTTTAGTGAAACTATCCACACTAATAAAACTGATGGTATGTGTTTGAGGAGCAGATTGCAGCTGTTTAGAATTCTGTTTAAAATGTATTAATGTCTGTAAGGTTTGATTTTGGAATAAGTTTTGTAATTTAAATTGTTTAATGATGCCTGTTAATGTTAATACCAATTACTGGTATTTATTATAGAAAAATAATTTCATGTCTTAAATATCCAAGTCTTAAAAATGTATTCAGACTTCAGCAGCTTACATGTATAAGCTAAAAGGATAGCAAATAATTATTCATGAAAGAATATGCCTTCAAGACTTTTGGCATGGTTTTCCAAAATTATATTGATTAGAAAAATAACACAACACTTTAAATTTATTAGAAGTAGATAGTTACAGATCGCTTCTACAGTTGCTGATAAAATAGATCTTAGAACTTTATAAGAAGAAACATGGTGTTATCCATTAATTTAGTATCTGATGTGGTTTAACTTGAATAACAGTTTTGTTTATGCATGCTTAAAACTGTTTTAACTTCATATTTGAATTCTGCAGATGTATATACTTGAATAATGCCAAAGGAAAACCTCCTTTCCCTCTTTCAGAAGTAATTTTCATTGATTTCTATGGAATTTATGCCCAGGTAAGTATGTATAGGTTAGAGCCTCAGATTGAATTTTGTGAGGACTTTCTTATCTGATGTTGAATTCTACACTTATTTCTCATGTTATTTTTATTTCTTATGCTATTTTGAATACGGTTAAGAGGCTTAGATCACTACTTATCAAATCAAAGTTTGTTTTAAACATTTAAGCTCTGATATACAAACTGGTTTTTAATTATTTGGGATTAAATATATTTATTTGGAATATGTATGCCATCCATTCCCTTGAGTCCTCTCCTCAACTACAGTAAGATGGAGTTTTGTTTCAAGTTCAGTGTAAAATAATCTATAGTAAATTCTTACAGTTTTTATTTTGGGAGGTTGCTGCTTGAGCTTCTCTCTCTCTCTCTGTGGGTGTGTGAAACATGATTAGTTTCTATTAACACTGGTCAGTAGCCACATAGGCTGTTTAAAAAAGTTAGGTGTCATAAACTGATTAGAGTACTTCTTGATAGGCTATGATTGCTATAAGACTGCAGGGCATCAGATTAATGTACATATAATTGAATGTAGTGGGTATTTCTCCAGTTTGAAAGCAGGTTGTTTACTGTTAAAACAAACCTATGAGTGTCAATACTATTATAAAGTAGAATACATTTTAGTGTTTTGGAGAAAAGGGCAATATAAATGACTTCCTTTTTAAAGAAATATGTTATTTTTTGAGACTGAAATCATGCCAAGATATGAAAGAAAATGTGTATTTGTGGCCTATCTAGCTGTAGTATATATAATGAAAAAAGTAATTACAATGTTAAGTTGGTCTGGAGGGGGAGCTAGTGCCAAAGCAAAATAAAATTCAAATTTATGCTACTATCTTTGAAACCTTATAAGTTTGTTTCCAGCTTGATGATTCTGTTATATTGTTATAAAAATGTTTGGTGGGGAAGAAACTCTATGTTTTACATATACATGTACATATTGTAATTATTGTATTTCGTGTCCATTACAATAAGGGCGTTACTAAGTGAACAGTTTACATAGCCTGCATACAATGTATCACACAACTGATAACATGTTTGATTAGTCTGGATATTTCAGAATTCAATCTTTTTTATTGTTATTTATTCATTTCATTGAATTCATTATGGCAGCCCACTCCAGTAGACTCTGGGCAGCAACATCATATTCTACATCATGACTATTAATTTCTTTTCAGAAGTTCTCAGTTTAAAGCTACTTTTTATTGAAAATATTTTTTACAGCCTGATACATGAACTTAGAATATATGACCAAAACTGATTTAGTGTACTTGACTACAGTGAAATTTACTTTTTATTGAGCATGCAGTTTACATTACTTCCTGGTTAACAGACTCATTTCCACAACTGCCAAAATACATGATTTCCAAGGATGCAATCAGCCAGGAAGTAGCCACTTTAAAAATTTGTCCAGATACCACAAAGGAGGCTAGGAAAGTATTACAATCTACTGTTCTGTTTTATTCCTCTTTGGAGGAAACTTTTATAATAATAATTTATGGTGATATGATTAGTGGCAGCATCATTGTAATAGAATGGGGGGGGGGTGCTTACGTACCTCCATTCCTTTATGCTCCTTTTTTATTTCCCCTTGTGGCTGCAGATGGGAGAGGGTAGTAAAAAGATGACAGCATTCCTAAAGAACCTTCTTTTCTATGGGTCCTTTCTATGACCTCATCTCAAGTTCAAAGGGACACTTGTTTGGACAGCACACTTCACTGTGGGAGTTAATTTTGCCCCAAATACCCGAGGTGTTATAAATAAAAATTACCCTGTAATGGATTAGTTATTGGAGCCACTTGACTAGGTTAGAGTGTTCTGACTCCTCCCTGACTGGTTAAGTTTGTTGTGTGAACAGGGCCACCAGTTGGCATGTTGGAAGATGCAGAATTAGGTTCTTAAAGAGGGGCCAAACTTAGGTCTGAGCCAATACAGGTAGTCCCCAGGTTAAGAATGCCCAGGTTACAGACGACCCATAGTTAAGAACGGAGCCTATTGTAGCAAAATTTGAGTTAAATACACAATGGTTTGAGTTCATTATACAATACTACTTTTACAGTATTATACAATAACGCTGTTCTGGCTTACATACACATTTGACTTAAGGACATACCTTGGGAACTGGAACTCGTTCTTGAACTGGGGACTACCTGTACTGCTCATTACTTGTTTTATTTCCATTTTCATTCAGCTGGCTTCTTGTATTTAGCTGGACTTTGGTCTCAGCATTCCTTGTAGTTGTTTATTAAAACACAGCGTATTGTGTTTGCATAGTGGTATATTTGTATTAATGATTTGTTTGATTTGCTTTACTGTTCTTTTTAAGAGTTAGTTGCAATGTTCATTATACTGGCATCTTTGTTTTTTTTTAAGTGATCATGAGGTACTGTGCTGAGATGCAGTGTTATTTACAGAAGGCATTAGCAAAGATGAGGTTGTCAGGAGAATCTTCATCATCAGTGCCAGTTCTGACTCCCGTGCATTGCATTGGTGAATGCTAGGGTTTTCATATGTCCCTATCGGCTGAATTTTGAAAATGGCTTTCTAAAATCTGAACTATTTTTTTTTTCAAAATAAAAATTAAGTTCTCAAGAATGACTGACTTAACCCATCCCAATGAGCCACCAGTTTGTTTTAATCATTTTTTTAAAGCCATAGAGGCCTGGCTTATATAATCCTAAACCATAAACAAACCACAGTGTTTGGGATCAACTATAATTCTGAGCCAAATGAAACTTGTATTTAGTTTCAGATAATTTCAGTTTCTTCTCTTTCAAGAAATGTCTGTTAGTCTGTTTTTCAACTAAGTAGAGACTTTTATCTGTAATTAAACCAATTACAACTATGTATTGCAGCTGTGGAGGGTAGTTCTGAGATCCTAGGAAAAGGTGTAATTGTTTTAAGGAGTTGCACGTAGGTGCTATGAGAGTGTTCCTCTATGGTCTGAAGCACTATTTTGCCTTTAAATCTGAAGTGCTGCAAAGTCCTCATGGTTAAACAAACAAAATTCTTATTTTTAATGTGCCCCACACATGGGAGTAATCCAACCTCAATAAAATTAACAGTTAAGTTAAAATTACACAAAAGCAATAACATCAATATATACCATGATTCATATAGTTAGGGTTAGCACCTATACAACCCTAAACCTACACACCTGATTTACCGGCCATCTAAATTTGTTAAGTTTTACAACAAAACAGGCTTACCATTTGACTTTAATAATTGTCATTTTCAACATCTGTTCACAACCTCTTCCACCAGTCAGTTTGTTTATTAAATAAGTTTTCAATTATTTCTTAAGATTTGTTTATTCTCACTGACACTGCCTTCAGAGCAGTTATATAAACCCTCATACTTCTGCCTAGTTTGCTTTGTGTAAGAGTAAGCTAAATTACAGGATTACAGCTTTTACAATTCCTTTCCCTAGCCATGATGGCTGAAGCTGATTGGGGTTGAAGTCAAAAACATCTAGAGGTCTCCAGATGTGCATACTGGGATTTCTGGCTACTTACTGTGAACAAGCCAGTATAATAACTCAAAGGTTTTGGCTTATGATTCTGGTTTACTAGGAAAGTATCAAGCCTGAATTCCTCATATGAATAGGACTCTAAGCAAATAATAGACAATTCCAACTGGCTTTGTTTAACTTGTGGTGATAAGAGGAATTAAGCTTCTTGGTAAACCTAAATTCTTTACAATTCTGGTTTACCATTTAATCCCCAGTTTTTCATTATGTAATAGATGTTCTTAAATGAATGTACGATAACTTTAGATACAATCGTTGTCTAGGCTTTCATTTTCTTTGCTATCCCTTTTATACCAAAGATAAAAATGATATGCCAAATATTTATTACAAATAATAAAAGAGCTTGGAAAACTGAACTTAGCAAAACAATGGGGCAGGTTTCAGTCATTATTTAAAAAGAAAAACACGAAACTGTACAATGTATATACTTTTATTTACTCAACAGTGCTAGCACACATTAGTAATCCATATGACCATCTGCTGCTTTAAAAAGTAGGGAACTATTACCATCTGTTAAAGAACCCCACACTGTATATCATGGGTATAATGTTAAAGAAAATCCAATATCTATATAATATAAAAACCTATCATATAAGATAACCAATTTTAAGTGAATTGAGATAGTTAACATATCTTCTGGAAAATGACATGTGGATACTGGCTTATTGTTAAACATTCATTCACTTGGAACACTTGAGTATGCAGAATGTTCTGAAGTTAGAATGATTGTTCTGAATGTTGTGCATTTTTCTCCTAAGTTCAGGACTAAATGGGAGGTTACATTCCATGTTCTGAATCTTCTAATGGCTATAATTGTGTCCCTGCCCAAGAAATCTTCAGACTCATGAAGACTTGGAAAGTACATCGCTCAATAAACAGGTCCATGTTCTATCTTTGCCATCCTTGGCTTGAGGTAATTGAGTAGAGCAGGGATGAGAATGATAGAGAATCAGTTAAGATAACCATGTCATCTAGCAATCCCTTGACAAAGAATTGAGTCCAGGTGATAAACTGCAGGCAGTCCTCAGGTTATTATGGCAATTGGGATGGGATTGCCATCACTAAGTGACGTGGTAGTAAAGTGTGACATCACATGACTGCATCTCTTAGTGACAGCAATCCCGGCAGTCCTGGTTGCCGTTGTAACCCCAGGACATGTGGGTTGTTAAGCAGGAAGAAGCAGGAGTCCCAGGTAAGCACGGGGGGGGTGTTGCATGGGTGCTGTGGGCAGGTGCTAGGGAGCGTGGGGGGGTGTCGGTGGGGGTCATAGGGAAGAAAAAGCAGTGGAAGTGACATATTGGGGTGACATGCAACCTTCTCTGCCAGCTTCGCCATTGACTTTGCTTGTGGGAAGCCAGCAGGGAAGGTCACAAGTGGCAATCATATGATGCGGCTCCCTGTGATGTCTTAATCGCAGGCAACCTGGCCTAGAAGACACATGGCTGGGGAGAAGTGTGGCTTTTGCCTCCGGA